TCACCTGCGGCGGGTGACAACTCAGCCTTGGGTTGCTGAGAAGACAGACTGTAGACGGTTCTAATTGAATTAAATAAATTTTCTTGTTCGCCTCGCAATTTTTTGTCGTAACTCACCAGCCTTATACTCCAGACCCCGGTTGTTCAAACGTTGGATAGCGCTATCCACCGGATAAATCACTATCCAGCGGATAAGTATTACGGAAATCAATTACGCTATCCGCTGGATAGTGATTTATCCGGTGGATAGCGCTAACCAACGTTTGAACAACCGGGGCCAGGACTATTTTAATCGTCTTTTATCGGGGCCTTACTTAACACTGTTCGGGTTTTGCTCCGTTGCACTTGTTGGTCAAAACAGCGAAAGACCGACAATAGCATGATAGCATGGCATTATATTCAGCTAATTGCTCATTATCCATTTTGGGGGCTATAAAAGAGTGTATTTTGCGATCGAATGGAAACGTGGCTTACGATAACACTAAATAAAACTCACCATAGGTATCTGATTGGACGGGAATTTCGATTTTTGTGTGGATCCCTTTGCAGATTTTGCAGAGAGGCAAATTTTGGACAGTATTGCTCAACACACAGAGGCTATCGGGCACAGGCGAGACTAGTGCCGTAGTGAACCAAATATGTCATTTTAAATCCACACTGAGTTGTTACGAACTTAACCTAAGGGAAGGCACACTTTAAATAACCAGGATACTAAGCTTTCCAGTCCCTTTTCGTTCTCTGTCGCTCAGGTTTGTGTCCGAGCTATCCTCGGCTTTAACTATTTCAGTCATGCATGTCGGCTGTTTATTTAGTCTATTAGGCTACACAGATAATGCAGAGGAGTTATGTTGACATTGATTCGCCCTGCGACAGTACAGTTGACTGATTTTAGCGTCATAGCATGAGTCCCATAAAGAAATTCAGACCGTGACTAGTTCACTAAAAATGTCTCCGCGTCTTCCAAGTGAATCGAATTTACTTGAGACGATTGTGCACTATTTGTTACCCTTTTGAAAGCATTGAGCAAAAGCGACCGTGGGCTCTCAGCAATATTGGTTGATAAAATCGGCCGACGAAGCTTTCTGACGACGTCACCCTCCTGATGACAAGTGTCGGCTCCACTCGGCAATAATCCGACAAGAGACATGATTGCATGACGCTACGGAATTGAACAAGACGCAGGGGCACCCAACGACCGTTTTCTGGGAAATGATCTGAAATGGCTCGTTATGTATCCTGGAGTGCTTTCGAGACATCATTGACTCATTTTTCACACCATTTAAGTAAAAGTTCGCAGTTACAGATTCCCTTGAATAGTTAATTAATTAAGATAAAACAGAGTTATTGGTATATTTAATGTGTGTGGTGGCCAAAGTAGCATTTGCTTTCGAGTTGGTTACGAGACGCGAGACACCTTTCAGTGACTCTAAAGCTATGTTCGAAACCACTCTTATCGACCCTGTATCTGATTTCAGTTTTCTGTTGCTTATGTTTCATTTTCCAGTTTCCTAGTTTAATTAAACTACTGAAAACATAAATTTTGTGGGTGTAATAATTTCCTCCTTCTCATTTGTAAGCGGTTCCTGAAATGACAAAATCAGGTACAGTAAACACTCGCTAATAAGAACCTGTGGTTTAAGAACCTACCGGCAGAAATTTGGAACTTTAATACCCAAAAAATATAAGTAAGAACCTGTTTAGCTTAGCAAAACTTAGCAGGTTCTTATATGTGGGTAACAGGTAAATTAAGATAAACATTTTAACCAACTTCGAGATTGCCAATTTGTTACTGCAACAAACTTATACCTGCCAATTCTCACGCCTGCGGGTTGAAAACTTCGATCTCACGCCGGCTCACGCCTGCGGGCCAATTTCTCACGCCTGATTGAAAAATGTGAGTTGTTGCCGTCCTGCTTGACACAATTTCCAAAAATATGTTAACTCAGACCCATGTAAGGAACGAAAACCATGTGTAAAATGAATAAATGGCAATACCTTCCTCCCGATCTCTGATTTTTGAAGTGAAAAGCACTGGGAGCGAGCTCGCCTTGGGCAGTCTTCGGCAGACTTCGGACGTCTTCGGAAGACTTCGGACTTCTTCGGGAATCTTCGGAAATTATCGTGTCGTCTTCAAAAATCCCAGCACTCCCAGGATAAAAATCTCACGCTTATATCTCAGAAAAAGTTGGCAGGTATAGAAACTGTGAGTATTACTGTAATCCCTACAACGAAAAAAGATTCATAAAAAGTAAAGTTTGTAATTGCCTTCATGGACGTGGCATAAAGGAAGTTTGCAATGTACAGTTGTGAAAAAATACTGTATATTTAAGGACCAAACTCAAGTTTATATACTTTTCTGGTAGTCAACAACCCATATCTCCTTCACTAGAAATTAACAACCTTAGTAAGAACCTACTTAGCCTAAATTGCTAATAACTAACTAAAAATCAAAGAACCTTTTTTGGCAGACCTCAAATTCTTAGTAGCGGGTGTTTACTGTTACCCAGGCCAAGCTGGCGGGAGACTGGGGACAACAAACTTCCGATCTAGTTTCTCGGAAACTCGACGGAAAAAGACAAAATGGCTGTCTTCGGGAAACCTTTGTAAACCTGAGCAAACCCGTGCGTTTAAATTTATCATTTCTTGAAAGCGGGTCAAGAAACAGCCGCTTTCCGGGAAACTGCCCGTCAGTAGTGAATCGTGAAAAAGGGCTGGCACAGTATGGTTTATGGAGCTGATCACTTCTTGGAAACGATACTGGAACAACGGCCTTCCAAGAAAACTACTGGTTTCGAATCTTAAATCGAACGAGCCGGTACATGATATTTCATAAGCAGTAATAACTGTCAAGACACAGTTTAGCCTTGAAGGATAAAATTCGGTAACAAAAAATTGTCTGAGCCTTTTAGCTGTTGGTTGAAAATTTTTAGATACCTTGGCTTATAAAGCTTACAGTTTTTCTGTTTCAGGGTGGCGAAGAAATCGACGGCTACCGACGAATCGAATTTGGTAAGCACCTAAATTTCATGGAAACCATTTAAATGTAAAGCTTCTATCGATTTTTAATGGAAAGAGAATGAAATGTCTCTAGTATTGTCAGTATTCTAGTTGTTAATTTTAATTGCCATTATTTACTGTTTTAATTCATTGTAAATCTTTAAGTGTATTAGTCTACACGCCGAGAACAACGAATTAAAGCGGACTTTTCTGTTAGAAAACAACAGTTTGTTTAAAGTTCAGGAAATGTATGTACAGTTTTCTTAGCTTCGAGCTTTTATCATTTTCACTTACAAGTTAGCAACTTGAATAAAGCAGGCCCGTAGCAGGGGGAGGGGCAGGGGGGGCTCGAGCCCCCCCAGAAATTTTCATACTTGAATTAAATTCTGCTACAAAAGTGGAATTTTTCTACTAAAATGGACAGTTGTCAATGGAAGCTAAAGTTTCAAAGTATTGTCGATGATATTAAGATTATGCACTGTTGTTCTTCTGTGCAATTTGGAATTGAGTAAAAACAATTAACGGCTTTAAAATATCTGCTTATTAAGCATCAAAATAGTCAGAAGCAAAATGGATCGAAATGCACCAATGACAATCCCACCTGAACGACGTGATGATGTTGCATGTTCACAAGGACAGAACAGAATGATGCTCTGACCCTTGTAGACGTAGCTAATGACTACGATGGGGAGAAAGAAAACCGAAAGCAATTGTTTGGCAAATGTTCCGTGAACGATATCCCAAACAAGTTCTCTATCTCGTCAAAGTCAACACAAACGGAAAATTAGAGACAAGAACAAAAGGTATTGTAGACAAATGTAGTGATCTGACATGTACCAAGAAGTATGCTTTAACGGAGGGAGCGAAGGAGGCGGGGGGGGAATTAATGTGGACCACTCGCTCAGCCCCCGCAGTCATTTTATGCTTGCTACGGGCCTGTAAAGTGACAATAGGGAGCTTAAGCAGCGACGTTTTTGAGCGACGCACGTCAACCGGAAATGAGGTATTTTCCCTCTTAACATGCCTTGGTGATATAAAATTTGTATTCCTTAGCTTCTTTACTGTTATAGAGGCGATTTGACTGAAATTTGCGCGAAACCACCGTCAAAAAATGAAAAAAGGCCACTTCCGGTTGACGTGTATCGCTCAAAAACGTTGTTGCTTAAGCTCCCTATTAAGTCCATAAACCTGCGTGGAGTCTCCACAATGCAGTCAGTGAAGCAAACAAAATAGCTTTTTATTATATGAATACAGATGATGCATGAAACACAGGTAAGACTTCGACTGTTGCGAGCAGAGTCGTGTTAAAATTCAGTAGTTAAGTCACAAGACCACACTCAAAGTCAGCGAAAGTTCAAGCAGAAAATAATATATCACGCGAGGAGCCCATTTATTTGATGGGCTCCTGATCACGCGAAGGGCGGCCCTTAGCAGTGGCGGATCCAGACTTTGAGATAAAGAGGGGAGAAGGGGAGGGGGGGAGGGGGGGGGGGGTCATCCCCCCCAAAATTTTTTGGTCTGAAAATAAGGGGGGGGTGGGCGCCCCGGGCCCCTCCCCTGGATCTGCCACTGCTTGAGATCCGGAGGCATATCGATCACGTTAACACCCACCTCTGACTTAGGCCAAATGTGGCGTTAGGGGAGGGGTGGGTGGGCAGTTTCCCAGAATCATATTATTTATGGACAACATTACCATACAAAATAACAGACGAGTCGTTCGTCATACGCATGTGGAGGAGAAGGATTTGGACTTGCTTTAAAGAAGGTGATATCCCATTCTCGTCCCCAGACCCACTCGGCTTTATTTACCACTGTAAGAAACCATGGGCTCTGGAGACGAGAATGGGTGACATCCTGACTCCAGAACTGTTCTCTTTTGCGCATAAGCAGCTATAATACTCAAGGCTCTTTTGCAGAGAATAAGTTCTGTGAGTCGTTTGAATTGCAACGGATTTTTGAACCGAAATTTGATTAACTACGTGTTGTTTTTGTTTTACTGTAATAGGCGTCAAAGAAATTTACGACCAACGTTTTGTAGTTAACTGTTTGGGGAAAAAATGGGATCGTTATCTAACGACGACACTCCTCATTTAAACATGATACAGTACTGGCATGAGACTTTTGAACAAATCTTCGAGGACTTCAGTCCTGACGAATGGAGACTGGAGCCAACTAACAAGCCCATGCCTAAGGGATGGCGAACCTTTAAAGACAGCGCCAAGGTAAAGTTTGCCTGCGACTGCGACAATTCCTGGACATCAATGAAAGGAGTTGTTATATTTTGGTTCAATAAAATAGGCGACAAGCCCGAAGTAAAGCAAGAAAAAGATCAAGGCGACAGTGGAGATTCAGAAGCAGGGGCAAGCCGCCGCGAGAATGGAAGTGTTTGTATGTAACTAGATTGTTTTGTTCTCAAAACGTTGCTAAAACTTCCAACAGTGTTGGCCCGAGAATGTTGCGAGTTGTTGGATGGTGTTAGAGGTAGCGTGCAACTCCCATCAATACTGTGACACACGTGAATGATGTTCAAGGAGACCACGTGTAATGCGCGTGCGTCGCCCCAGCAACTGTTGAAAGAGCTGCGCAAACGGACTCAACATTGTTGCGCAACGCTTCGGCGATCACTGGACAAAAGAAATGTTGGGAGTTGTTTGCTCCAAAAAGTTTGACCAGTTTCAAACTTTGCGCAGCAACTCCAACAACACGAAACACCATGTGGCGGAGTGGAAAACTACGCATCATGTAACTCTCATCAATGTTGGGAGTTGTTGGAACCTTTGAGATTAATATAGTTTGTGATGGATACTCTTCTAATTAACACCATTTCATGATTTCGAACCTCTAGAAGTGTGCAATCCCAGGAGGGTACTGCCTATAATTGCCTATAAGGGGAGGCTCCGCCCTAGAGAGGTACCTTTTTCAGGCTTCAGGTATATGAAAGGGTGGGGATTACACTAGTTGAAGTATTTGAAAGGGTAGGGAAATCTGTCATTTTGGAGAGTAAAAAAGGCCCAAAAGGGCTAACATTTGCATTTTATGGCTGTGAAAATGTCGAGAAAACGTTCTGGTTTAGTGATTTATTCATATATAAAGGACAGTACATTTACAGAACTTAAGAGAGATGCAAATTTCTAAACCAGGTATGTGAAAGGGGTGCCTTTTGAAGAAGGTATACGAAAGGTGTCCCTTTCCTGCCAAATATAGTATATAAAGGGTGAGAGGGAAAGAGCCTTTCCGTGTGAAACTTTAAGTTGGCCACTCCCCATTGGTGACCTCTTATAATTTGGTGATTAATGAGGCCCTCTTGGAAAGCTGGGAGGGGGGTATGGGTATGTTTACCCCTAGTCAAAACTTCAAAACCCGTCGTTTTGCATATCGAGGAGGAAGCTTTATGGCTGTTGATATTTCACTGTTTTATATGTACTTTTCTTCGTCCCTGTGGCAGTTTTTGCGATCTTTCCATCTCTGTACCGTTTTATTTGTCTTATTTGTCTTATCTGTTTCAGGACCACATCGCTTGAGGAGATTTTCTCTTAAGGGAATTTTCCCTTAAATGGGTTTATTAATTTTGATTTCTTAGATCAGAGAGTACTCCCACACCTGTACAAGTGAAAACATATCTTACATCTCACTTGATTCGGCTTAGATCTGGGTACAAGTTTTACCAAAATGAAAAACAATGTAATAACAAATACTATCAAACTGTCAATCAATCCTTTAGATTCCTTGAGGTTTAGGCTGTATGGTCAGAAGTGCAAGATATCTGAGGGATGTGACAATGAAGAGTTTCAAAATCCAAAATGGTACAGTGAGGAGGTGGAGAAAGTCCTGAATAATGTTCATAAGGAAATAGGAGAGGTTGGTGGCCGTGCATGTTATGTTTACAAGCTGTTACATCTTGAGGGTATTCGTAAGATCAGATACTTACTCGACGCTATACTCTTGATTAATTTTAGCCCCAGTTTGGTGGTTTGTGCGTGAGTATTTTTAAGATCAGTTTGAAAGCTGGCCGGTGAAAATCATAATCAGTCATCACTGGCTATTTTGATTAACTCGCGGCGATACTAGACAGGGACTACTCCACGAAGTTAACTTCTTGTCTTTCAAGTTAAAAATATATTAGAACCAAACGACAACATAAAGAACGCGCTCCGATAACCTCTGTTTGTAGCCAACGCGATAAGGATGGGGCCATTTACTGCCCGTAGGATATACTAGCCATATGTTGTGTATGTGAGTTAAAGTTGTTATAATATATGGAGAAACAGTTATTAGAGCGATCTGGTTCTTGAAAGGCGGCAAAAAAAAAAAAAACAAAGTCGAAAACAATTGCGCTACAGTTTATGTTCGGAGCTCTCTGATCGTGCGCAATCTCACAAATTGTGACTGAATTAATCAACTGGCCGTTTGTACCTGTCAACTGTTTCAATATCATAGGAACGCGTTGTTTACAAGTCCTAAACTGGGGGGAACAAACTGTGACAAAGAAATCAGAGTTAACTAATGGGTATAAGTTCTACTCTCTACCTTACTAGTCTAGCCACATGAAAAGCAATCCAAGACAGTCTTGCATTCTGGATTCCACTTCGAGGTTTCTGAATTCCAGATTCCATGTCGGTGGAACTTGGATTCTGGATTCCAATCCTTAGGGGGATTCCGGATTTCTTGCGCTGTATTCCGGAATCCGAAGCCCAGGATTCCTCAGTCCGGATTCCCTTACAAGGGGCAACTCGTCAGCAGCCAGTAAAATTTGATGCCTGGTTTTCTCCTTTTGACACTTCAAATTTAGGCTATTTTACAATTATTTCTCGAGCCCGAATGGGCTCTGAGTCAATAGCCCATGAGGCCGAAAGCCGAATGGGCTATTGACTCAGAGGCCATGAGTGCTAGAGGAATAATTGTTTTAGTAAAATCCAGCTAGTTGGTCAAAAAATATCGAGACAAAACAACTTTAGGTAGTTAAAGCTAGACTTTAATCTTTTTTTGTCGCCCAAAAGCCAGCGCTTTTCGCTACTAATGGGCTATAACATATAGCCTAGCAGTAACTCAACTAATCAGAACGCAGCATTGATAATAGACCACTAGTTGGATTTTACTGTTTTGTAAGATCTTGGCCCCTAACCGATATCAACTGCGTTTCAGGTTTTTTATGGTTTTCCAAAACCCGTCATGGACGAAAACAGGAGGCGTGGCAGGCCAAGGAGGCCACATGATTCCAGTCGATGTCAAGCATGCCAGGAGGGGCAATGTAGCAGCAATCGCAGTAGATAATTCTCTCTCTTTTGTTGAAATTAAGATTGCTATAAGCTGTGGGTCGTGATAAATCGGCTCGAATTAGGTTTTATTAACAATCTCTTACCTACTGGTGTCCACTAGTTTTCGCTCGTTTTCTTCAGTTTTTCAGTATTCCCTTTGAATAAATGAACTATTCCCTTTTTGAGCCTTTCAAGCCCTAGCTACAAGCAATGATTTTTCCTTATAATTTCTCTGTATAATCAAATATTAAAAGAATAAAGTAAACGATTACGGAGAGGAAATGTGTTAATATTGGAGCAAATAATCCCATGCAGCCTTTTAGCTTTTTCATTGGTTGTTTGCTAAGCGTAATGTTACTCAAGAGACTATCTCGTTCAAAATTCACCCTGTGTGCATGTATAGAATTGTTAAGAACAAAACTTATCAAACAACAAACAAGCCATAAGAACGGTACCAACTAGAAAAAAATACTCCAGTTGTCATTTATTTATTAATTGCTTTTCCAATTATTCCACCCTAACTTTTCTTGTATGTGATAATTACACTCTGAAAAGCCACTATCTAAGTTACATTCATTGTAGCAATGATTATAACGATCACGATATAGACGAACACGAAGATAACGATGAAAACTGTAAATAACGACGTGACCGCTAATGACAACGATAACGATCATGACGATAATGACCGGATATTAATAATGAATACTATACATTAGCAATGGCGGATCCAGATATTCAGATAAGGGGAGGGTGGGGGGGCTTCGGGCCTCAGTTTGGTCTAAAAATAAGGGGGGGGGGGTGGCCCTTCTCCTAGATCCGCCACTGATTAGTGACGTAAATGAAACATCTTTAAGTGAATAAATGAAGGATCACAGGCATTCAGATAGGGTGGAGTAGCAGGAAATCCCTCCCTGTCTTTTTTTGTTTCGCTCTCCACTGCATGCAGTCCCCAATCCCCAAGATCTTGAATACCTGGAACAGGGTAACTGAACTTATAAAAACAATACAGAGGATCGTTTATTTTTATTCTGTTTTTCCCATAGATTTATTAGCAGCCTAACAATTCAACTTTGTCAGTAGTTTCAATGATATTAAAATTCTTACGTTCTTGTAGCACTACGGAGGTCAAATTAAAGTGACCATACGGAATCTGACTGGTAGTGAAAAAAGAGAATTTGACATTCAATCTTAAATTTCTCATTTTCGACAAGTTAAAAGCTTTTTCACTGTATTTCGTATATCCCGGCACCAGTATGCATAAATCACAGGATTAATGGCTGGTAAAGTATAAACTAAGTACAGAAATCCTGTAAATACTCTAGGATAAATCTGTACGTGATCCTGAAACTTCCACAAAGTTAATGTAACAAAAAATGGGCACCAAGACATCAAAAAAGCGCCAGATATTGTTACAAGCATCTTGGCAGCTTTGAACTCTCTGTTAAGGCTCGTGATATGACGACACCTGCACGAAGAATTATTCGCACTTCCTTGAGTGGTTGTCGTAGATTCTTCGTATATACCCGGCCGCACTCGCTGAGCGTGGTTTCGGGCAATGCGGTATGTTCGGAAGTAAATAAAAGACATGATCGAGAATGGGATTACAAAAATCACTAGCCACTCGGCGGTCATGTAAATGATCTCGTAAGCTATGTGTTCGACGTAAGATTCTTCCTCCCCGCAAATAACTGCCAGCGGCCTCCATATCAAAGGCGGTGATGCTAAAGAAAGTGCAAAAATCCATATAAAAGCAATGGATATGAACACCCTTTTTCTATTCACAAGGTTCGCGTAAATGGGTGGCATCCTTGCGGAAACACGCGAAAACGTTCCGGAAACAAGTCAATTTCATGTTTCCGTCAACGTAATCGGATGTAACTATTGCGGAAACACGAGTTTACGAGTCGGAAACTGGTGTTTTCAAGTTATTTCCATCGTGAAAAAAGCGCTTTTCACCATCTTGGGGTGGTTTTCCCGGCCATCTATAGTTACAAAAACCCATTCTCTCGACATTTTTATTGCACAAAATAATACGACAGCAATCTTTCCAAGTACTTTCTTTATTCTTCTTACTTCCTAAACTGACAATCAGGTCTTCTTATGGTATTTATTCATCACATTGGTTAAGTAGTTAAATTACATTTTAAATGCGAGTGCCTATTCACACTAGCAATGAACAGAAATAGTAAGAGGCTTCCTTTAGGAAATCCACTAAAAATTTTCTGTAGGACTACGTAGTGTTTTTTTTTTGGTAAAGAAAATGTCAAATCTGTTAACAAATTAATGCCCTTTATAGCAGATAGTGATAAACACTTTCATGTGCAGTTTATGGCTAGTGATATGTTTGGCTGTCTATAATATTTCAACAAAGTGGAATATGATTTCTCGGGTGAATGTACATTGTAGTCCTGGGTAGGACTGTTGTTGACAGCGACTAACGTTTTGACAACAAGGTGATCATCATTTTTATGGGCATTGTCAAAACATCAGTTCCTGTCAACAGTCCCACTAAGTACTATACTAACCTGTATGACCATATACCACTTACTCATATGACCATTCTGCTTCAGGATAATTTTATAATTATATGGTGTCAGGAAATATTCTTACTCTTCTGACATGGTGGTCTAAACTACACAATTTTCTATGACCAGTGCAAAGATTCAAATGCAAAAAAATACATCAACAAACAAAGTATGGCTACAGTTTTACATAATACAAGTCTGCTAAAACCGTTTATGTGTTTCATGTGTACGTTTTAGGTCACTTCTATGCTGAAGTCATTACTTAGGGCGCTTTCCATTTGTCAAAACTGACCGGCCAGACCATTCCAGTAGTAACGAGAATTTCACTTTTAATCACAACTATCCAACTAGATCAGTCAAAAACTAAATACTAATGCACAAAGGAGATGGTTTTTCAGCAAAAACTCTTGGGAAAAAGCTATTTCATTGTCAAAATGACTGCTCCAGCCATGGTCCGGCCGGCCAGTTCCGACTTTTGGAAAGCACTCTTAGTGTCTTTACCCTTACACAAAATGCTTGACTTGTAGAGTTATGAAGAAGATACATGCATCAAGCCAATTTCATCAGGAAGCACAAACCATAATAATTCTTGGTGATTTATGCAGTCACAGCATTATTTTAACTTTGAAGAAGTTGGCCAAGTTTCAATCCATGATCATCTTTGTCATACATAGCAAGAGGTGATGGGAAACAGTCCCAATGCCTCAATTAAGTTTTAAATAACAAAAATGGACCATTATTTTTAGAACTTAATTTAAGCCAAGACACATTGAAGCCTCTCAAAGCTTTAAGAACAAAATATAGCACAAGCTAGCCCTTTTAAAGCAATATAAAATGCCTTTCTGGAAAAGATGTTCACAAAGTTCTAATAATTATTATTGTTATGAATGATTATGCGTTATTGACCAACATTCGGTCAAGTTTGCTGGATAATGGCCAAGCTCTTTTTTGCGAGGCCAATACCCAGCTATCTTCACCAAATTAAACAAGCTTGATTGGTTGGCACACTTGAGTGGCCAATTAGAACACAGGATTTGCTTCATCTTGCCCGCTCACAGATTCCACCATGTTGTAATAAATATTACAATTTTATGGTTGAATCCGTGCGCGGGCAAGATGAAGCAAATCCTGTGTTCTAATTGGCTACTCAATTAGAATTATAATTATCATAATTTATTGACCGGGTGTGAGTTTAAGATGGCTGAATATTTGTGCCTTTATTGACCCTGCCTTCCTCTTTCAAGGCTGTGCTCTAGGAAAAATTGAAGGCAGCCCAGCACTCTGAACTTGTGAAATCCAGTGTGCCCAGCAAATGATTTCTGTGAAAAAGCAAAGATTTTCTAGTTGGCCGAGAACAAAAGTTACAGATGTAGGCGCCAAGGGCCACAGAGCACAACCGTGGTCTTGGTCAATAAAAATGCAAAAATGAATGAGGCCAATATTCAGCCATCTTTAACGAACAAGCTTGGTCAATAAATGAATTATTACATGGCCAAGAAGAGAACTTTTACTTGCGGGACCAACGCGGGAAATTCCAAGTGGGCTGAAGGTGTTCGTTTTTCCTCTCTTTTTTAAAAGTGGCTTAACAATCTTTAGGCTTCGTTTCCGGGCCTTAGTTTCCTGCGAGCTGGATCTGAATTGCTATTTTCACAGTAATTTCACAGTAAGTAAAAGTTTATCTGGGATAGCTTTGACATGCTGGGCCCAGCCCTTTTGCGTTGCTCGCAGGATATTAAAAATCCTATTTTAGCTACTGCTGCTCTTCAGTGTAGTATAAAAAAATTGCCCTGCCACTCGGTCAACAGTGTTGCTTGCATCAGTCTGAACTCCAACCGCTTTAATGTAATTTGAGAATAATGCAAGTCTTACGACCGGAGCTCGATGATGTTATTATTTCTCCATTTGCGGTTATTGCGACATTTGCTAGCCAGGGAGTAACATTACTATTAACTTTGTGTTGTTTTTGTGGCGTGAGCAACTACAAGCCGTGGATCTCGGGTACTTTTTTTTTCTTGAAGGAAAAAGACATTGTTCCTCTATTGTTTGGCCCTTTGTCTTTGAGGGTAGCTTAAGATGACATGTTTTTTTTTGTGGCCAAAAGTAGTGTTCTCGGCACAAGAGAGACTCTCTTCCCTGGCTAATTATACACATTCACTGTCTAATAAATATTGATCTGAAAGAAGTCTTTGATTGATCGGTTTATAAGAAACACCCAAGGTAGCTTGAGCTTGGCACACTTTTGAAAGATCATGATGCAAAGATCATACATTAAACCTAGCGAATAATGCGGATTTACAACTTTCTTTCTACTTTTTCCTTTTAAGTAGTTACATCCCGCGTTGCCATTCTAAAAGAAATACTTTTGAAGATTAAAAGTTTGAGAAATAAACAGTTTTTCAAAACGCTTGAAATGCAGTCTTAGAACACCTAATCCCCCCCCGGACTCGTTGGATTGTATCTCCCGTAAAAAATTCTGCCTACGGGCCTGAAAGCCTCCTCTTTTAGTAAATATTGTTAGAAAAAAGTTATTTTTGATAAGGGTGTGCGAGCTAAAGCTCTGGGCGGGTGTGAAGGAACAGAAAAATTTGCAGTCAGAACGTTGCACTCACAAGATGTTGAACTCATGTAAAAGGAAAACATATCAGTCTGCAGATTTGAGATGAAACGCTCGTTCTGATGAAATGATTAAATGATGTCCGTATTTCTCCGTGGTCAGCCTGAGGTAGCAATTGGATAAAAACACAAAGCGCATGAAACAAGAGTTTTGATTAAGTAATGATTTATTTTGAATTAAATGGTTAATAAATTGTGATCAAAATATTTGTGTACACTTAGCAAGATTGTCCATCCTATGACTGTATTTTTATTATCCTATGATTGTATTATTAAATAGTGAAAGATTAATTTCGTTGAAAGAGGTTGACAGGCTAAACACGACCCCCGCTGTTTCGCGATGTAATAGTACTCTGACCTTCAAAGTTTAGCTCTAACAAGTATGTCCTTGAGAGACTTCCCTCTTCTGTAGGAGATGCGAGTTGGTTCTGATTTTCAATTAAATGCCACTTGTCCATTAATTAGAACCTTTTTAAGACTAGGCACTGATGGGTTGTACTGTGTAACAAAAGGTGTTTTCTCCTTGCGGTTTTTGCCGAAGTGCCGACTCTATCCGTAAATTTAACTTCTGCGAGGACGTTGTTTACCAGATTATCTAGCTGGATATCCTCGGACACGCAAGTGTGACTTAAAGTTGTTAATGATTTCTTCAAATTAAGTTATTGAAGAGTTGGTTCTCAGAATCTCAGAATCCTTTTTTCACGCCCGAAGCGTGACAACCTATTTCCCAGGGTTCTCCTACCAGCCCATCCTCGGAGACCCAGGGGCAGTCAGTCGTGTTAAAAGGCGCGACGAAAGTTTCCAAGCACAGGCGGAAGAGCCCCTGGGTACCGACTCTCACCGGACTATTTCCAAACGGTCAAGAGAATGCTGGTTCCTGATTGGGCACAAAAAATGCTTTGTATTATTGTGCTTAATCGGCGAACAGCACTAAGGCTCCTGAGTTCTTTTCGTGAGTTCGTACACAACGGCTATTATCTCGCCACAGTTGCCCGGTTTGTTCACCAAGCTTTCCTAACCAGAAACGAAGGAACTACCGATGAGTCGAAAAACGTTTCGGATGCTATCAGCAGGAGCAATTCAATTCGCACTGAGAAAATTCTGTTTCTGACGGATCACAATGTATCGTAAATAATAGGAAGTTTAAGATGAAGCGGCGACGAGAAAGTAAAAAAAGTATTAGCTTGACATGGCAAAACAACAACTTTTCACGTGCAACACGCTTTGTTGTCTATTTAGTTGCCTTCACTCCATGACTACCACGCGAACATGCCTAATTTCAAGTTTGGTGAAGGACGTATGAACTTGGATATGGTTGATAGAAATTCAGCTCCAGAAGAGTTGCTTGCATTTGACAAAGTAAGTGAGTTGGAATAATCACGATAGAGACTGAAAAAATGTGAGTTCACTCTTCATGCGACGTTTTTCGTGGTTGTCAGCTGTCGTGCCATATTAAACTCCCTAATATCTACGAAGGCGTGATCGATGCAAGCGTGAATACCTGTTGTAAGCTCAAGCTTATACTTTTGGAAAAGCGTCTTTAGTTTTCATGTAGACAATGGTTTTCTTTACACTAGGCTGTTAAGTAAGACTTAAGAGCTGCTAAGTTTTACTTAACCAAAAATGCGTGTGTGAAGGCCTAAGCAAAATCTCAAGTAACTTTACTTT